GGGTTTCGGAGCAAAAGGTTAAGCTGGAAAAAGCGGTGAAGAATGATATCTGTGGAAGGAATCCATATGGAGGAGCTAATTTGTGTGCGCAAGCGCTGACAGAGCTCCAGAGAATCCCTCGAAACTTTCGCGGACCATGTGGCGAGGCGTTTGCAGGGATCTGTCATAATTGGCCGTGGAATCAGGGCTGCAAGTGCTCCCTCCTTATGAAGGATCAGGAATGGATGCACCACCGCGATGGGTCGCCTACAGCTACGGTGAGACGGATAGGCGGACGCGTGTACCCTTTGAATCAATGCGTTCAAGCTATGCACCCCGAAGATTACGCAGACGCGTATAACCAGGCCGACCAGTACCTAAATCCGACATAACTCCAATTATGATCATTTTTCACGCAAATGGAGAAATTGCACGGAAATTTTTTATTATCTGAAAGTGCTCAAAGAGCTGATTCTGCGGTGTTTTTTATAATTTTTTTCTGATATGGGAAATAGTATAAAAATAGATTGAAAAGTGAGAAAATGCACCGCCTAGTGACGTCACCTGGCGGTATTTCCCATTTAAACACACTTATTTAACCAGATTAGATCATTTTGTCATATCTTCTCCAATAATTGTTCAATTCATGAACCGAAGGTATCGTATCCTCGTGTTCAGGTCACTCAGTAGTTTCCGCACGTAAACACGAAATTCATCAAATTTCAGACACCTGCCAATTCTCTACTAAGGAAATTCTCGAATTAATAATTCAAGTAACTGAGGGTTACACGGAGTTTTAATGGGTCAGTTGTGCTGTTATAGAATTGTATTTTGATACTTTATCTGATAAATGTGCTAAAAATAATAAGATTGGTCCAAACAGCAACTTTCTACATCTAGTATTAACCGAGATATCGCGCTTTGAATAATTCGGTTTATGACATCATCCGCACTGCGGCAGTGACACCCTCGGTTTCTGTCACCTTGCTTCCATGCTTCAAACTTATTATCTCTCCTCTGTTTCTACAGTTTCTTTTAAATCAAATGCTGTAACGTCGTTTCTAATCTCGCCAAACAAAGTGCGGCCGCCGCGCCAGTCGGCGCGGAACGCTTATTAGCGCCTACAAGACTGCAGGAATACTTCACGCATTGCGCAAAACAGAGTGCAGTCGCTGGTCGGCGCATAACGCATATGAGCGCCTACCAGACTGCAGGAATACTTCGCGCATTGCACAAAACACAGTGCGGTCGCTAGTTGATGTGAAGCACATATGGGCAATTCTACGACAACTGTTCAACTGGACCCCCAAAAAATTAAAAAATTAACTTGATTATTTTGGATTGAGGGCCTTTTTCCAAGTCAAGTATTGTATCAGGCCTGAACATTTAATGCGAATACCTTTTTTTATCAGGCGTCCCCACCTCCTTCTTTTTACACACAAAACGTCCTGTGCGGTGTGACGGTTATAACTGTGACGGTCGTGACAAATTTAAACAAAAACGGCGTATATATTCAACAGCAATGAGGCACAATTTCAAAATTCGGCACACGTACAATCGGTAATGAGGACTATAAAGTGAGCACAAATTTTTTTTCAGAATATCACACGCTTTAAAAATGAAAAAAAAACATGACGGTCATAATACACAGGAAGGTTCAATTAAGTAGATTTTTGTTCCCTCCAGATTTGTCAGAAGGGCAACTTTCTGTACCTAATAATCGTCTGTAACGATAAAAAATGGGACGCGCTTGCTACGGCGCCATGATACAACTATACAACCTTGACGGATGTCCGTATTGCGTTCAAAAATTTGAAGGCGGTTTGACTTCCTACGCGTAATATCTGTAGTTGATTCGATCGACTAACGCGTTGGTCGGCGTTGGGTAAAATGAAAGACGACGTTTCTCCATTTGCGACGTTGCAGACTTCCTTAGAAATTTTATTTTTCTTTCGAGAAGCTGGTCAACATAAAACTTAAATTCTCCATGATTTTTCGTATTCAAAAGCAGAAGATTTGGTTTAAAATTTAATGTCGTAAATTTGGATTGTTTCTCAGGGAAGAGATGAATTAAGAGCGGAAATTTTGAATCACCGCAATAAAGATACGTGGTTTCGCACTTCATTCGGTGAGTTACGGACATCCATCAAGTTTAAAAAAATGCATCAAGTCCCCGTCACCGCCGACCAACGCGTTTGTCGATCTAATCGACTAAAGGTATTACGCGTAGGAAGTCAAAACGCCTTCAAATTTTTGAACGCAATACGGACATCCGTCAAGGTTGTATAGTTGTATCAAGGCGCTGTAGCAACCGCGTCCCATTGTTTATCGTTACAGACGAATGTAAGTTGAGAGAGGCGAGTCATAATGCCTTCAATTTTATACATACATATTTTTGGGCAAAATGAGAGACGACATTTCTCCATTTGCGACGTCGCAGACTTCCTTAGAAATTTTATTTTTCTTTCGAGAAGCTGGTCAACATAAAACTTAAATTCTCCATGATTCTTCGTATTCGATAGCAGAAGATTTGGTTCAAAATTTTCTGTCGTAAATTTTGATTGTTTCTCGTGGAAGAGATGAATTAAGAGCGGAAATTTTGAATCACCGCAATGGAGATACGTGGTTTCGCGAAACCACGTATCTGAAATGGATCGCATTTTGCAAAAAGGAACCAAGAGCATTCCAATGTCACTAAGATTGCGCAACCTTGTTTGCCTTGCAAATATGCACAGATTATCTAAACTAACTTCATCTTTACTCCCAATTAACTATGACTTAAAGGCAAAAATTACCTTTGTAAATTTAATTTTTTGCATGATTGCAGTAATTTTATTGAATGAATACAAGATATACAATCTCAGCAACATTGGAATGCCCTTGGTTTCTTTCGACAAAATGCAGTCCAAATATTTACTCTCGAGAAACTGTGGGTTTGGGGCCCCGTGCGCGGTCCATGGAGGGGCGCGCGACCCGCACTCGATAACGACTGCTCGCGAAAAGAATGCGCCCTTTTGGTGTGTGGCGGGGCTGTTGCCCGTTTCGGCCGGCAGGGTGCGTTAGGATATCCGCTCGGCGCGCATAAAAGGGCTCAAATCGATCGCGCCGCTCGCAGCGGGCTCGCGCCAGATTAGCGCGCCGAAGGCCGACTCTTTCCCGTCCCTGGGCTTTTCCGAAGACAGTGCTGCTAAGATTTTCTAACCTATATTCATCTCCGCTGTCTCTCCCCCGCGAAAGCACAAGCTCAGAGCCAAGAGCCGTGTAAACAAATCAAAAAGCAATAACTCGTAGAATTTATGTCCCCGTTTTGTTTCCCTCCCTCGAGTTTTTTAAGTGATATTTTTTACGGCCTCCGCGTAGCTGTCGATTAATGTTACTGAATCCTAGCAATATAATCAAAGTGTTCACCGTTTTTTCGTCGTACCTAAATGAGTGTGCTTCTCGGGTGTTTTGGAATAAAATCAATCGAACAGGTGAGCAATTCCACCTCGTCTCCCCCCCCCCCCCCCCCAATTTTTATTGCATACGGGTTTTGTTTATTTTTGACTCATCACTTATTATGCTAAATCTGCAGGATTTTTTCAACCTTTTTTTAAAACCATTTTTTACTTTTTTCTGGGAACAGTATATATAGGCAGCCAAAATAAAGTCATTTTGGGGCATACATAAATATCTAATATATTTCTCCCTCGGAAAAATTACAGCAGAAGTGCTATTCATTGTAAAAATTTATTTATTTCAATTTTTGAGTGTTGAAATTATTCCTCATTAGAATCAATAAGTCCCCCTATTTCTATTTTCGAATGAGGCTTCTTGGAATACCTCTGCTGTAAAAATAAGCACAGCATTATAAGAATTTTTTTATATCATCCTTTTTCTTCGCAAGATGATTCAAAACACAGAAACGGTCCGCAATATTTCAAATAGAAAGGCGAGAGATAAGTTTGCCAGTATCAGTTGTAAATCAGATGCAACATTGAAAAAGTCTTTGTGTCATAGCCAGTTTGTTCTAACAGCCTCTTTAAAGCGATAATTTAAAAATATTAGCTATCAATAATTAGAGAGTTTTCCCATGAGCTTCCTCAGTAGAACAGTGAGACAATTCACAAAAAGAGAAAGAGGAGAAAAATTGAATAGCAACATTATATCATGCATATCATTAAATGAGCAAACAAATTGTTTATTTAAATAAATTTTCAAATTATTCGAACCTCATTTTTAATCTAATCTATGTCACGTGCTTATAATTTTATTTGGGGTCATTCCTCAGTAAAACTCAATGCCGTTTTTCATATTAAAGTAGGTATTTTACCTTTGAAATCATTCATTTCCACAACTGAAAGCCTCAGAGGGTTACGGGAAGTCATCGTGTTTGTGATGCAGAAAATCATAATCGATTAAATCTGGCATTGTGTGTTTATATTATAAGTTAACTTTTTTCATCTCAAATATCATTTTAAAGTGAACCACTCATTTATTTTTCAAATTCTTTAAAACATTATTTGGTTTACTGTATAAAGTTTCCGTCTTGAACATGTTTTACACCGTCGTAAAAGCATAAGACAATCACGAGAAGAAGGGAATGTTTTGTCTAAATTTTAAACTGATCGGATAAAATAAAGAAGACTACTCCTTGTAAATACTCCAATACCTATTGTAATCTCCTAGATACTAAATGATCGCACTTATATGGCCGAAAAGGGGACATACTAAAAAGTTAATGGATTAAGCTTGACCAGCTACCGTTTTAAGCCACTAGCTTCAAGCCACCGTTAGCTATATTCAATTGAAAAAAGAGCTAATTTCGTTATAACATGATCTCTGTTATACATGTGTTATGAAGGGACTCAGAGCCCAGATCGCACTGAGAATAGCTCCTTTTGATTTAAACACATCCGGTTCATCTCGATTCAGTCACAAATTTCGATGGAATTATACTTTTCAAGCACGGAGGAAGTTAAGGACGAAGAGTGAAGGAATGGGAGAGGGAAAACTCGGTTCGGTCGTAAAAGCATGTTTATTTTTCATTTAATTCGCGGTAAAGGTAAATATTCAGCGTCTCGCGGTTCGTCGTAAGAACACTTCCCGCGTAGTCTGCCGTGCTAAGGAAAAACGCCGTATGAACATCCGACTGTTGCCAAATTTCCCTCGATAAAGTGTTCATTTTTTAGGAAAGTTATGAATATTTTTCCTCGAAATTTTCAGGAAATTTAGGTGAAATTGCGAACAAAATTATCTGAAAAATATTGGAAGGAAAATACTCATATGTTTAGCAGGAAATTCGTGTTTTATCAAAGGAAATTTGGCAACGCCTGAAGGTTCATACGGCGTTTTTCCTTAACGCGGTAGTAGTGGGCGCCATCGCTCTAACATCCAGCGAAATAAGAACATTTTCATTCTGAAGTACGCTGAAGTTAATTTAAAGCTTGATCTGACTCGAGAAGATTCCTGGTTTATTGGGAAGCGAGAAGTTGGAACCGACAGAAAAAGCTAACCTATTACTCGTGCGTTTAATTGGGGAATTTGCGTCCGCCGTGCTCTACCTGTCAGTTCGATGACAAAAAGTGTGCTGTGATGTGGCGCTTAACTTCCTACCTCGTCTCGTGGTTTTCTCCTGCCCGCTAATATGAGACCGTCTACCAACATTTTTGAACAAAAAATATCAGTATGTTGGAATTTTTTAGCCAACGTGCATCAAAAATCAGCATAAAGAGCTGAAATTCTCAATACTGTGAGGGAAAATTGTGCTCATATGAGTTTTTTCCCTCTGTATTTAGATTTTCAACTTTATGCTGAATTTAAACGCACATTAGCTAAAAAATTCCAACATACTCTCTTACGATCCGTGCGTCTACCGTAATCAGTTTGTGTAAAAAATATCAAAGCAAACTACATTTTTAGTGGTTTGAAATTTGTTGTAAACTAATTGGTTTTGAGAAACAGATGTCGCGATTTCCTGTGTACTATGTTCAGGGCATAGAAAAGCAGGATTCAATACAATTTCTTAGCCGTCACGGGCATAAAAATCAACTAAACTGCTGACGGCTTAATTTTGAGAACACAAGTCGGAGTTTTCGCTCAAAATCCGATTTTTCAACCCAACTCGAAGAAATCGTCCCACGCGGAAAATATAGCTGTTGAAGATTGTTGTCCTTTCACCCGCGTGGACGATCATACTTCGATGGTAAAATTGCAGGAGCGCGTACCTTGTTTGCGGTGTTGTGAAATCTCCATTTCCCTTTTATTTAATGAAATGAGAGTGAACCGACGCAATTACTTTACATTTTTATAGAGTATCCTTTACCCAGATGAGGGAAATCATAGAAGTTTAGAAGACAAGACGCTGAGAATTTTCCGATTTGAAAAATAAAGTGTGACAGGAAGTCTTCAACCGAAATAATTACGTGATTTCGGTATTTTACCAGTCATAAACCTCCGTTTTATTTTTGAGTAATTAGATTTAAAGTGGCTTTATTCAGTTTAAATGCGTTCGATTGAAACTTCAACATTTTGATTCGAAGAAATGAACTCGTATAATTTACGTTTAATCTAATAACTCGCTGAAGGCGGCTGAGCGAATGAATGTTGCGAAACAAGAATTCTCAGATCCCCTTCAAGGCTTAGTGTATGCAACACGGACAATCAGTAGGTACGTTAAGTTGCACCCAAGCGCCTATGTTGAGATCTATGTCGCGCGGTGGAGACATTTTCGCTTAGAAAGCCAGAGAGCTCGGTCATTAATATCCAATGCGCGCAGAAAATGGGAAGTCGATGGTGATGGACATTCCAAAAATCCGTATTTTGGATATTATCGTAGATATATATCGTATATATTCGTATAGCCGTATGCTACCCGTGTTTTAAAATCACTTCTGCTATTTTATTTTATAGAAGATCAAACCAAGGCTGTTGCTTCAAATTTTCACGGCATATTCTTCAAGCAGCTAAGAAAAACCTAGACAGTGTTCATGACATAGAGCTCAGTATTTTTCGAGTTGAAAAATAAAGATTGACAGGAAATTTGCAACTTCTCAAACCAAAATACACGCTCTTTGAGTTTTACCATCGACTTACGAAGCACCATTCGATGGAGAATAAACTTCAGAACTCCTTGATCAGAGAAAGATTTACCATTCAACCATGCTCGCGCAGCACTGGTTGCGGTGAATTACTGCTACATTGAAGTGTTGTATATCTACTAACATATTAGTACTACTCGTGTGCGCATCTACTAATTGAAAAGACTGTCCTAATTGAAATTCAATAAAATTGAAATCATACGCAATTTTTTATGGTACCGCAAATTGTCTATCTCTCTGATGCATAGAGTTCATGCATAGAGATCGTTTAAAATTGGCATCGATTGACCAAGCTATGTAAAAGAATTGATACATCAAGGTAAAAAAATTGAAATTATAATGCACTAAGTTTGAAAAAATGTAGTGAAGCGTACCAAGATGAGATTTTGAAAGAAATTTATTCGTAAACCTGAATTTGCTGTATTTCGCGTTCCCCGAGCGCATAATCGGTAGTTAAAAATAAACTAGATCAGGTATCTCTTCTTTATTGCTTTACAAATGGACGTATTTCTACCAAACGGAACTATGTGCATTCTGACGTGAGTCCTGTTGTGCAAATATTCTGATGGGTCTCAGAGCTCATGCCTTAATGCACATAGTTCCGTTCAGTAGAAATACGTCCATATAATTTGTGCTATTAAACTGTTAATATAGTTTGTTTTTAACCACTGATGATGCGTCTAGGAGACGCGAAATTCATTCTGTTTGGGTTTATAAATAAAGTTACATAAAAATCGCACATAGTTCCTTCAATTACATTCCTTCAAACGCATATTCAGATGCAAAATGCACTTTGAACATGTTTGCCTTCAAATGCTGTTTTATTTTGATATTATCGTGCGACTATAGGGAGCATCTTAGAAAATCTCTGATTCGACTCTTGGCCTCCGACACGTTTAATCAAAGGAAAATCGAAAGAATTCACAGGAAAATACATTGGGAGATGGACGGATCGACTCTGAGGTCAAGAAAAAGGAATGCTTATACACGGAAGCTGTTTCAGGACAATGGGAGAGGGTGGCAGAGATTGAGGAGCACTCTTAATAAATCAGGGATTCCGCCGCCCACAGTCCCACATCCCTCTCAAAAGTGCATTATCGAGGCAACGAGAGTGTGCACGCCTGGTAAATACTAGCACCAAGTTCATCCCTCTTGTCCGCATTTCAGTCTTTGACACTTTCTCCGCTCTTGCCAAACGAGTCGCTGTTCAGTGTTCTGCCGTGCTAAGGAAACACGCTGTATCAACCTTCAGGCGTCGCCAAATTTCCATTTATAAAACACGAGTTTTATTGGTAAACCCTTGAATATGTTTCATTCAATTTTTTCGATAGTTTTGCTCGCAATTTCACCGAGAAGTTCTGAAAATGTCAAGGGAAATTTTTCATGATATTCCT